TGGTATGCGACTAAAAGATAAATTTATAAATGAATGAAGGTAAAAAACCATATGGCCGTATGATGCTGAGAGAGTGTGTTCATGCAAACCATAAATATTGAATAATTGAGTGTACGTTTGCGACCTGCTCTCGTGAATTTCGTGTTCGATGTCGTCATACCATGGCAATGTCGAATATAAAAACTGACTTTGCCATTATAATGTTTTGTTTTTCTTTCATTTATTTTGAAAATGTTTTGAGCGGCGGTTTCTCTATTGCATAAATTTGTATACGAAACATGCACTTTGATTGCAATTTCGAATGTTGATTGGATCGAGCAAGTTGCAGTCCAAATGTTCATATGATACAACTTTAAAACGATATTTTTATATATATTTATTTCGCATTTTAGTGCTTTTATTGTGGCTTCCTTCATTGTCTATTTCCATTTGAAAAATCCAACTAGCACACGCTTCATTTGTGTATCGTTTTCCCTTTTCTTAGTTTTATATTTTGACTCTAAATAGCGATGAAAACTATGGTATGTATATCATATATCAAAAACACCGTTCCAGAAGTATTCTTCTCGCATATTTGAGATTTTCTTGTGTTTGTGTGCTTCATTTTTTTTAAAGAATGTGTCGTTTTTATGCAATCTAATGCAAAATCCTTCAATAAATATTAATATCCATATTATAAATTCGCAACACTATCACAATTTTTATTATTACCAAAGCCATATGAGATTGATAACACATCATGTATTGGGTGGTTAAGCTCATTTACTAACTCATTTCTTGTGGTGGTTCATTTTACATCATTTCGAAATATGCATTGCAACAGTCGTGAAACTAAACAAGAAAACTGAAAAGGATAAAAAACACATACATCTGCATATGCTGCGAACTGTTTCAAGTCTCGCTCATTGGAAAACCATTTCAATTTAATTTCATAACATAAGCGTAGTTTTTTGCCATATATGAAAAATGTCTGCGCCGATGACTACTTTGCAAAATGCTGGCCAAATGCAATCCGCTATCCGATGTTTTTTTTTAATATCTTGGTTCCTTTGTGTAAAGTACAACTGTGTTATATTACTTGCCACGCACAGAAACAAAATATGCGTTTCGCATTATGCTCAATTTTGTTAGTTACAGTTTCTTTTCTTATTACGAAAGGTCTTTTGTCGAATGCCCAAAACTAGAAACACCTTTACATATGAATTTAATGTTGTGAAATATTCACTTGGGATCATTGGATCGATAAGCTCAGTGTTTGCTTATACCCTTCTTGTATAATTGCTTATTGTCTGCTTTTCATTTTCGTTTAACATATACATTTTTGGACAAAACTCAAGAAAATATTTCAATTGTTAACCCTCTAAAGCATTAAAAAAAATTTCAACGTGAGAGCTATTATTCTATCATTATTTTGGTTTATAACTCTATGAAAAAAATATTCGAATTGTGAGAAATCGCATAGTTTACTCAAAAAATTCTATTGACAAAATTGTAAAACAATCAGAACCATTGTTTAGAGTGCTATAAAAGTGTTATAAACAAAAATACTGATAATTTTATTTTGTTAAATTTCTGTTTTCGCATACATCTGTGTTAATAATCAAACAAACGCTTAACCGGCAAATGAAAAACTGAACCCTGCCAAATGTATTTTAATTCATAAATAAAATTATTCGTTTTTAATTATATATTTTAGACAAAGTATGTAGTACATTAGTATTTAGACATACTATGTACACTATGCACTAGAGGGTTAAATATTGATTATTACATTTAAATTAACGGCGCAAAATAAAAGCAAACAGCAAATATAAATACGAACAACCATAAATAATATCGAACAACTGAATGATATACACTTTAGTGCTTCTGGGAAACAATTCAATATACAACCATTCGAAAGCACAAAGTCGAAAAATTACTGTGTGAACTCGGTTAAAAAAACTGGAAACCCGTTCCATTTGATATTTTTATTGCTTTTGAACGTAGAAAAATAATTAAAGGATAACAAAATGTCAATAAACTTTCAGGAGGGATCGACTAAGCAATAGCAACATATGTGTTTTCACTCTTTCGTTGTTAATATATTCATTGCAGCGTTATTGTGGTCAAAGACTAACTGAACACCTTTCATAAAAATTTAAAAGTGCGCACTAAAAATAACTATGAAATATATACAAGCACCGGCTGGTTTCTTCCTGGATTTTTTTGGATATACGCTTCAAATCAATGTTGCTATGTGCCAGCTGTTCGTATACGTTCTATTTAGGTGGTTGCGGCCAGTTTTCGTTTCCAGATACTTACTTCGTATAATCCGAAAAACATTGGTTTTCAATATAAAGGGAGAAGTACGGTTTTGTTGACTATGACGAAACTGGTTTTCGATTCGAATTTTTTGAAAACATATTAAATATAGTTTACGAAATATTTTTGTTCAAAATCAAGCTATAACGAGTGATCATATTTAAAGCAGCGACAAAAAAGAAGAATGAAACAACAAACTCTATATAAAAAGTCTGCGCATATTTCGATAAAATATTCAAAATAATATATTCGTGTATAAGAAATTTCCTCTTCTCATTAGTACCATTCGAATAATACTAGTTCATGTTTGTGAAATATAGTTTATTCAATAGTAACCGACAATACAGGCACATTGGAATATTGTCAACAATAACCAAACGGATGGATTTTTATGTTTTCTGTTGCTGCCAAGCTATAATATGAATTGTACTTGGTTAGCGCTGAGCCAAGTGTGTAAATATTTAATATTAATATAGCACATTTGTTATTCTGTATAAAATCGAACAAGATATCGTTGTATATTTTACGCTGTCACGACCAATGCGTTTGCTATTCGAGTAGTTTGCGTACTTTTTTCCCACTCTTTCAAACATATGCCTCTTTCTTGATGCAATTTTTGTTAATTTACCATTGCCATCATCATATCATATATTCATTTATAAATTTTCATTTTAAAGCCAATTCTTGCAGAAGTAATCGACAATAAAAGCATGTATATAAATAGTATCAATTAGTATATAACTTTAACATATATTTACACCAAGAATAGAAAAAAGGATACACGGTAATCGAAAAAGGACCATTAAACGTAATAACCAGAAAAAAGTGTCTCAATTTCATCATAATAACTTCTAATTTAACTTTCTCGTATAAAAATATCGATTTTTTTCGTCAGTTAAAAGATGAATACTTCTTCTTAATGCCATTGATTAAAAGTGATGCTTCGATATTGTTATAATTTCTGTTTTTGAATCAACCATTTTATAATATTATTAATCACTCAACTTTAACCCTAAACCGTCCTTCTGCAATCCGCCTTAATCCTGTCTTTAGGGGCACTCAGTAAGTACTTTCGAATTTTTTCGATATTTCGAGAAATCTTATGTCATAAACTAAAGACATGAATGTGCGTAGCAGATCGGCAGCTACGTTTTTTATACTGTGCTGACAAAATAAAAAAATATTGGATGAACAAATTTTTGCTGTGTGATTCATCATTCGTGCACAAACATTTTTTACAATTCAGCAATTTTCCCACACAAAATATATGAAAATATACGTCAGAGACTGAGTGCCCCAAAGACGAAATGACCATCTTTTGTATGAATAGATGCATGGGGCGAATCACGCTAGTAAATACTAGAAAAACTAGTAAATCTAGTGCGAATAATGACGTCACAAACGAAGCCAACTTCACACCAAAGGCCATATAATTTATATGAAAAACTACTGAGAGCCAACTTCACGCACTAGAATTTTCTAGTTTTCTAGTGAAATCTTATTAAAAACTAGATACACTAGAATTTCGTGATTGACCCCATGAATAGATGCATGTTTTATATTTTTGAGTAGGAGCAGAGGCCGACAACACGAAAAAAATCGGGGTTTAGTGATATTTGATGAAAAAAATAATTTAATTTTAGTTAGAAATTTTGCCCGGGCACTGAGTGCCCGGCTTACGGTTTTAGGGTTAACAGTTATGTGTTTCTTAAGTAATTGTCGAGTAAATTATGGGCTTGCGCATGGCCTAGAATACTAAAAATGTTCTAGAAATAAAATGTGTTTGAGTATAAGTGCCTACTTTATCTCTAAATAAGGTTGGATATAGGAATAAATTGAATATCAAATGAGCAAATTGTCTGTAATCATTGGTAAATATGTGTGATTAATGATATAAAATGCCAATTGTTTTGTGTGGTTTCAGCTGTCATTTGAGCATTTATCGAAGCATAATTCTGGGCGGCCCAGACGGTGCCAAATACGATCAAATTTCATGCAAAATTCAAGCTTCTTGTGAAAATATCAGTCCGGATACATATTACATGCACACATCGAAGAAGAAGAAACCGTCAATCAAGCGATTGCGCAATTAAATTCATGATGCTTAAACACGATTTTCAATACAGGCGCAATTTCACGTGTATAAAAAAATTGAACTTTTCATGAATTATGTAAACTATTAAGAGCGGAAGAAAATGAACAATAGCCATAATGCAGACGAAAAAGATATGGACCAAACTGTCAAAAAAAAATGAATAAAACAACGAAAAACACGCTGCAATGAAATTATGCATTCTCCAGTTAATTTGATATAATTTAAAGTTGTTTCAGCATGCAGACATGTGCATCAAAGGAGAACCATGCGTGTTTCATCTTGTAAAAGAAAACGCAACGAATAAATAATAATTTTTTTTTGTGGATAAGTTCAGCTCACGACTATCACATATTTTTTGCTTAATCAAAATTTCAATGGAATACAATTTTACGAAATTGTTATTTTTAGTTTTGGTGTGCAACGCACTGGGATCAGTTCTTATTTCATTTGTAAGTTTTCGTTTGGAATGCTTGAATGTATTTCACAGAGAGATAATTCGATACTTGGGTTTTGTGAGTGTATCTCATTTGGCATGCGAATTAAAATAATATTGAGTGAGCTAAATATGGTGTCTATGTAAGTGATCATGAGTAAAACTTACGATAAATACGGTACTGCTACTATTTCCGATGTGTGATGATGTTGGTCTTCCAAGCGACTGCCATTAGCATTTTTGGCCCACTTCCTGCAATTTACAATAATAATGACAAGAGTGTTGGAATTAGAAAAATTTAATGTTGCAACTAATGCAAGCATAATGATAAATGTGATATTGTGAATTCAGATGATTTTTATGTTCAAGAATTTTGATTACACGAGATAAGCAAAGATGTATTTATTTCCATAAGTTGTCTTAACTAGTATGAGTCAATCTGAATTTGGATTATGTTATAGGTTTATGAGATTCATCTTGGAAGTCCAAGAAATCCTCTTGTTTCAATCACTTATAGACGATCAACAAACAGTTAATCCTACAAATACATCATTTTTGTGTGTCAAACAGAAATGATTCTTACGAAAAACATTTATGAATATGTGAAACAAATTTTCGGATTTATCGTTCGGAACCAAACACTTCCGGAATGTTTGCAATACTTTGTTATCTACATTTGTTTTATTCAATTGAATTTTTGAATACTTTTCCGTGTTAAAGCGGTAAATGTTCATTTCGGCAATTCATTCAGCTAAACCAACAAACGTAATTTCACTTAATTATATGACACAGACAATCAGGCGCAGCAACAAATTAAATATATATATTCTAAATATATTTTAGAATGTAATCAGAAAATTCAATAAGGCAGTTGTGGCATATGGCGCGATACAATACAGCAACAGAGCGACAAAAAAATATCATTGTTTGTATTTCATTTTTATGTAAATTCAAATTGACTTGAACACGAAAGCTTATATGACAAAAAACTCTGTTATTAATATGTATTGGTGAGCTGACAAAAAATGTAACCAACATGTCAAAGTTATCAACATCCATTTGAAATAAAGATTTGTTCGACGAATAATAATAATAATTATTATTATTTATTACTATTACTACATTAAAAGCGCGTCAAAGAATGTGACGATAACAAAAAGTCAATTCAAACCAAAACTGACGAAATTTGAATCAAGTAAAATAATACGTGAACAATATGCTCGATAAGGTGTCTCGTAAGTTCGCTGATAATGCATTCGTTGTGAAAAGCCAAAAATAAAAATAAATTAACATTGACATAGAAACCTTGATGATATGGCAACTTTTCTTTTCCTTCATTTGGTGTTGTCTGACAACAGTTTACATATCGGTCTTTTTAACATTGTTTTTTTCACATTTGCCGTCACTATGATGTTTTTTAATATTATGATTGGAAAAACAAAAAAGAAAACAAATAAAAGTTTCAAAAGTACTTTTCAGTCTATGTCTCGCGTCGATTGTCTGCTTTCTTTTTTTCACATGTCATATGTTTTATTACGGTGTAAATACAAAAAAAAAAAACATTAAAGCACACGAATAAGTGATAAGAAATGTTGTGATGATATGGCAAATGTTTTTTTTTATTAAAATTGAATAAAGAAATTCATCTATTATATGAAGTCTAAAGAAAAAAAATAGATTATATTGTTATGCTGAACTAGCATAAGTACAAATTGAGCAAGAAACGTCTTCAATATACAAGACATTGTATTTGTAATCTTTGCTGTGTGTCGCTGTATTTTTAGTGTGAAAGGTATGATTCGATTGAAGTCATTAGTCACTACCATATGGGTGTTGTCGGTTTCTACAATCTCAGGGTTTATTTATGAATAGAGCTTGGCTGTTTAAAAATATACGAATAGTATATTATCATCTTCATTATCGAATGGAATACGAAATGAAACGATTTATTGTTGCTACTGAGCTGAAAATTCTGCCGAAACAGTTGCGACAGTAAAATTCAGTAATTCTAAGCTGTTTTGGTTTTGAATGGTTTTGAAAATTCATGTGTAGCCTATCTAGAAAGTGTGGTAATGAGTAAATACTGTAAATATTTACCATATTTATGACCAGATTCAATGTGTATTATTATGAATAATACAATGACATAGACAGTAGTCACATTGATTATGACGTAAATTTCAAGGTGAATAAAAAAGTAGAAATGAAACAATAGACGTTCTTTTTTCACCCATGGTTTTGTAAACATGACACCAACGCATATTTTCGATTATTTTTGGCTAATAATCTCTAAATGTTCAGTGTCAGATATAAATCTACTTTGTTCGACGGTGGAATTGAACGTTTCGAAGGTCGCATTCAGCACAACGAACTTCAAAATGTTTTTTTTTAATACGACCTGACTCGTACATATACTTGTATACATTTTATAATGATTACCGGGAGATCTTGCAGTAATTTAATTCGAGTTCAATTTCATGTGAAATTTCTGATGTTTAAGTGTATATGCTATAAATAAGGGTCGCCCAAAAAAAAATTTGATCTTAAAAACGACACAATTACATAATTCCCTAATTATTGCGTAGCATGTAAAAAAGAATAATTCGACTTTATCGCTGAATTCCGAACGAAAATTTAATAAAAATCACTACAAAATTTGTATAACGATATATATTGTATATGAATCTATATAACGAGTGCAATAAGAATAAAAAAAAAATAGAGTTTGTTCGTTTAATGAAGTTTTTAAATCAAGGGAAGAAAATTCCAAATTAAGTATACCTCGTATTTTCTACGTATAAAATAACACAAGTGGAAGACGCGCGAATACACACATACTTTTTTTATATGTGTAAGCAACAACGATTATACTTTCAGTAAAGCGGATGAAAGAAAAACTGGTAAAAAGAATAAAACTAAGCATTGACGAAAGAATGAAGAATATCCAATATATTTATGCGAGAATGCTTTTTTGTCTGTTGCACGAGAACAAAGAAAACAGAAAACGAAAACTCCATTGTTGCTGAATCGGCTGTTTGTGTAAGCCTTGCATCTGTATCTTTGTGTTCTGTATGGCTTTGATATGTGAATGATTCTTTTGCTTCTTTGCTTGTATACTGAATTTCATTTTGTCTAGATTCTCTTTACTTTCTTCGTTTCCTATGCTCTGCGAAGCCTTTGAAATCAGTTTCAAACCGAGAACAAAATTGACGAAACACATAGTTTTCATCTGAACCAATTTAAGTGCATTATTATCTCTGCTTACTATTCTTTTTTTTTTATCTCAATCAAAAAACCGCAACGATTTTTTCTCTCTTGCGTTCAGCAAGGCGTAATTTTCATTTATAATCGTAGTCTCATGTTTCACAATACAATCGATAGAGATAGACGTTTTGAAATGGCAACACTACCAATCTTTGCCAACGAATGGATATATAATTTCGATGTAAGAACACTTTCAATGTGTGTATAGCTCTTTATGTATATGTATCCCTTTGTGTACTGCTGACTTCTCTTACACAATAAATATACATCATGCCGACGCTAACATGAGAATTGGAAACTAACAAAAATTCAATACAAAATTTAGTTAATATAAAATAAAATCATCAAGTTTTCAATATTAATGCAAATTTTTTATTATGTATATAAGTTCCTTTTGTGGTTGAACCAAAGATTCTTTACTTAATGTAAGCTATGCCGTTATGTAAGCTATGCTTCCACATTTTTCGAAAAAGAATTTATCGAGAGCCTCAAATTATGAGCCATTTTGTACAGCGTCGCTTAGCTGATCTCACTATTTTCTCTAATCAAAAATTCTTGAACATTTTTCACTTCTTTTTTGCACATAGCACTTTATGAAACCAATATGAAATAAAAAATTGTGCTAATTTAGCATGAAAAAACACGGTTTATCACATCTAAAAAAGTATATAAATTGGTTTCAGTTAAAAACTTTATCACTGAAATTTAATTTCGAATGGTTTTTTAAACAGGATTATTTTTTCCTCAGAGAATGCCGTTATAAAAATGAAACAGCAAAGAACTTCATCGCCAGGATAACTTGATGACATGCGTTTTTTTCTCAAAATGAAATTAAATATGTTCCATGGTTTTGCGATTTGTATCATATTATAATATAGTATACGGATAAATATCGTTAAATTCATTGAACTTTATTAGCGTCATTTTGGTTAAATTATGCGAATTAAGAAACACGATTCAAAATAAATATTGACGATTGCGATAAATATGTGAATAGAATTTGAAAGCGTTGCAAGGAGAAAAATTTGAATACTAAAAACAAGGACAAATCAATTTTTATTTAATTTGAACGCGTTTGATTTCGTTTTTTTTTGCGCGCACGCCTTTGCGCATGGGCATTGAAAAAGTCGCTATGTGTAACTGTATGCAATGTATGGGTGTATGTGAATTGAGACATGAAATTGGCGTTTCTCACTTCGAATTTGGTCTCAAATTAACGAGTCAATTTCAACGGAGGTCAACTATGACGATTAAATTTTTTTGAATTTACCTTTTTCGTGCTAAATCCATTTATGATGATTTTTAAGTTAAACTTCCTTATGAAATGCAAAAACCAAAATGGCTGAAAAAAACAAAAGCACTATGTTTTTTCCGACAATATTTTAATCCAACACAATTGGATTGGATTCGTTCAAATGCGTTTCTCTAACTAATTTATTCTCGCTCTCTATATAATAACGGTTCTTTGCACTTTTTAATGTATGGTTTTTTTTCTTCATGAAAATTTTCACTGCGTTAAAACATTGAATAGTGTCGAATATTTAGCATATTTTTTCGGTCGCCCTACTGCCATTTGCTGGTATTAAGCAATAAAACTGTTTCTTTTTCAATCGAATTAGTCTTAATTTATTTCAATAGTTGTGGTGTAAAGTGTTGTTATAAAATAGCTGTTCTTGAATATATCTCTTGATACATACAGCGGTCAAAATAACTTATGTTTTCTTTTTTGATATAAAAAATGAAATTGTTTCAAAAATTAAATCTTTCTATTTTCACGAACACTCTCACTTGAAATTTTTTTTTTTTTTGTTCCTTCAAATTAATCCAGTTAGAGGTATAAACCGAAAAATGAGATCTGAGAAACGGTTTTTTTCGTCGTTCACTCTAAAAAATGTGTTTCAATTTCGACTAGCTGAATTAGCTACTTTAGATGTTTGGACGTTTTCGATTAAAATAGCAATTATCGTTGATTTTTCCTTCCTGATTCTTCCTTTGTTGAATTCTTTTTTTCTTTTTAAAAACTTCGAAATTTTTATTTTCTATGCGCTTGGCCTATGCGAACAATATGTAGCTGGGGAGCTGCTGCGACGCGACTAAAACCAAACTAAGCGTTCGACTCATGTAACAGCGTACTTTTCGACGAATGGTTTCGGTAATATCCGGTAATATTTATGGACTGCGTTCTGTACGCTACGTTGTCGAGCAAATGTATTCCCATATCAATCGAATGAAAGGGACAAAAAGAGACAGAGAGACAATGAAATGTGCTATGGTATTGGTAGCCATGCGTCGTATTACCCATATACTTCAGCAAGTATATAAAGCAGCGTCTATTTATTTTTTTTCTATGCAATATACACTCTCATCGCAACGCTTTCGTTTGAGAGTGTAGTTGAACAGACAAGCGAGCGGTGTATCGATTTTTGTTTGAGTATTCGTTGCGTTTGTGTGATTGTAAGGCGCATAAAAACACAATGCATTTGATAGCGTTGACAAACTGAAGTCTCTATGGTATATTTCTACAACAGGGAGTGACGCATTCATTTTTTATGTATTGGTTTGTATGGCTGTGTTTGAAATACTGCAACGAACTCACTGAGTGGAAAATACATCTGTAAAATTGTAAAAAAAAACGCTCAAAGCACAACACATGTGAAAAAGAGCGTCATTTTGGTTGTCATCAACATTTTTCGTTCAAACAACGCTTGTATCGTTGGAACAGTACAAAATTCATGATTTTCGTCTTTGTATAATGAAATAATATTGGAGTTTAATCTCAAAATATGCTATGTTCATTTTTAAAATTTAATTTATCTCCTCTGTCTCTATATGTATATCAAAAAGGGTATACCAAGCGTAATCAACGTGCTAGACATTCAGCTCATCATCATTAATATTGTACATCTATGTGAGCATCATTTTATTTGGTTTCACTTCGTTCAATGACGACGACAATGGAAACGATGAGAAAAAGCAACCGAAGAGCTCACCAATACATAGATGCTCGAGCATTATAATTTCAATCGTGTCACAATTCATTCGTCGTTTTGCGGTTATCGACATTGCCATATTAAAACGCATTTGTACACTTAAAAAAAAGTTCAAGAACTTATGTATGATACTCATACTATAGTATCACATAGCTCACAAAAATCAAGTTTTATAAATTTCTTATATTTATTTCAGGAATATTTTCAAGAAATGTTGAATAGAAAGTCAAATTTTGTATCTAGAATTATATTTTATATATTATCAGAAACACCAAATAAAACTTATTTTAAGTTAGGCGAAGGAACGCTGTACGGTGCAGTTATTATTATTATAAGTTTTATGAAGTTTGTCATTCTATCTATTTATTTTCTGTATATGAAATATCTAGTAGAATTTATATTTAGGAAACATAGTTGAGAATTGAATAAAAAAAATGATGATGTCGACGGCTATGATGACGATAGGGATGCATTTTCTTCAGTCTGGGTTAAACTGATTAAAAATTAATGTACCAACTGCACAACTATCTAAATTGACTATCACAAACTATTTGTTGTTGCTTTCATATTCTTTTATTTCACCTATTTTCTTATAAAGATAAGAACGCTTTTATTCAAAGATTTGTTTCGAATTTGGGTTTCGATTGCCGTTTCCATTTTGTGTGGAAACTAAGAATCAAGAATTTTTATAGTGATCACTTCCCTTTGTCAGAGTACATGCAGGCTCATTCTTAGACACAGATGAGTGCTTGCTCCATGCGAATCTGGGCGTTAAATTAAATCGATGAAATAAGAAAAGAAGAGATGCATGCAATGGCACACAAAGAACACTAAATGAAAATGTGATGCCGGTAAAAAAAGGTTGAAAAACCTTTTTATTTTTTTCATTCAAAGGCTTTGTTATTCTTTTATATGTGTGCATAAAGAAAACATCACGATAAAAAATCAACACGAAAAAACAAGAAACTTAATCCTGCTTGAAAGAAAAGAACAATTTCATTCTCGATAAAATTGATGACATAGCAGAAGCGCTCTTCTGTTACTGACTAAAGATGGATAAACCAATGGACTCCTCAACCCATTCGATTCGTTTTTTCTGTTTGTATCTTTGTCCATTTATAATTATTATTCGATTCTCAGCTGTAGATAAGTGCATCAATCAGTGGTGGCATCATTATTCATTGGCTCAACTTAAAGAATCAAACATTGAAATTACTAAATCATTGTTCCAAATATTCCAAACTTTTTCATTGCAACAAAAATAACAATTTATACAAATTCAATAGATTCTAGGTCATACGTTTCAATTTTACTATTCCGCACGCCCACAATTTTTTTTTACATACAAGACCGGGATGAGTATTGGGAGTATCGATACGATTTAGAGTTTTCTGTGTGATATTTTGATTGCAGCGTCATAAAATAGTGATAAATAGTTAAGTTTATTAAAAACAGTGATTTTGCCGATTCAAAATATATGTAGGAGTGCCTTTGTAATTCAACGCATGACTGACGTTTGGCAGACAACAAATAGAATGAAAAAACTTATTGATAACCGAGACGAGTTGCTTCGCAAGCACAAAGTTCCTTTACCAAAACTTGCACGATGAATAAGAATCGAACGAAAAAAATTTCATCATGTTCAGAGCTTTGTTTGTATATTTCACGATGAACAAATCGGTATGAGTTTCAATCGATGTAACCCAGTGATGGTTTATAACAGAATTTCGCTGTCACTTAAGAAAACACAGTAAATTTAGGCGCTTTCTTCACAATCTTGTCTTTCATTATGGTTTGAAAAGTTTGACAAATTCAGCGCATCTTGATGGTCTTTAGCTTAGAAAAATTGAAACATTGATGTTGTGCGTTCGCTTGTACACTTCTACAAGAAATGGTAGAATTTTATATGCAAAAAATTGTTACAAAACAAAAAAAAATAAATCGCTCAATCTCGATGATTTCCAACTCTGTCCTCTAAATTAGTAAGTATAAAACACTTCTTTCGAAGTTCTCACTGTGACGCAATACTGTAAATCTGAAAATGTTCTGATATAAATTTTCAGTGACGCGTTCGTTCATATACTTACAAAATGTTAATATTGCGTTTGAAATATGCAAAAAAAAAACCTTTCCAAAAGTCAGCGGTATCGATTTTCATGTCTTTAACGTATATTTGGAGTGACGCAAAATATACATATTTCTTATGTTTGTGATCGCGTCACTTGGGGGAGTACCGTCCTCCGTGATATCGCATTATCATACGTTCTACTATAGCATAAGCCAATATCTGTTGAAATAGTTGAAAAAAGAAGATATTGGCTTTTGAAACAGACTTTTGGTTGTATGGAGTTTTCTTTTCTCGGTTTCTATTTTTTTAGTCGAAATACACGAGTTTTGTTTGTTAAAAAAATGAATTCAAAGCTGTAGACGATGAGGTTAAAAAAGGACTAAAATTAAATTCGATCCCAAAAACCAAACAAAAAGACCGAAAAATCAAGGCATAGAGACGGCAACGTTGAACAAAAACCTAATGAAATGAATCGAATGTGTTAGTATGCATTTAGTGGCAGATGTTACTGAACCTGAGCAAACGAACAATTTATTATTTGTAAAAAACGTGTTCATATGATGCGATACGATTGAAAAGGAAGGTAAAGCGACTGCAATCTAAAGTATACAATTTTCGTTGAAACTTTTAGATTTGTTTATTTTGTTTCATTTTGGCCTATAGGCTAGCAATAGCTGTTTAGCTATTTACCTCAATCACGTTCACGTATCACCTTTGGAAAATTTATCTGCAATCGGTAATTTGGTTTGAATGCAAGCATATAATCGGGTTCTCGAATATAGCTAAACATAAAATCACTTTTTATTAGCACACTGTTCTATATTTAATGCGGTAATAAAAAGAAGATTCGCATAAACAATAACATCTTGGACATTTCACACTTTGTCTATGTTTGCTAACAATTTCAGTACTTCTATTTTTTTAGGATGAGTAAGAAAAAAATGATTTTGACTCTTATTTCGTTTAATTTAATTGAGTTGATTTCGTTTCATAAATATGAGCTTAACAAACATCTGTAATGAGTTTTTTTTGGACATGTTATATTGATATTTCATTTTTGAATTCATTAAAAATCTAATTTATTTAAAAATATTCCAGTTGAATTTTACAATTGCAATCATAGATTCTTACGTCCAGAGTTTTAGGAGGGGGTAATTTCAAAGAAAAATCGAAAAATCTGGGGGGGTAATTTCAAAATTGTTCGAAAAATCTAATCTCTGAAAAACAACAGAGAAATAGCACTTTAGCTTACGTGTTTATAATCAAATTGAATAATTCAATGCATAAAAGTTGATATGTAACATTCTATTCGATTTGAAGGTTGCTGATTTGACAATTAATCAAGCAAAAATATGATCAAAAATCAAGGGGGTAATTTTTTAAAAATCAAGAGGGGTAATTTTTGAGCCCCTTTTCAGGGGGGATAATATGGGCCTTATGGACCCACGTCAGAATCTATGATTGCAATACATTTGGAAACATATTGCCGTGGAGAAAATGTGATTATTTTGATACTATTGTAAAATTAAAAAAAAGACGAATATGTATGTGAATAAAGTGTGACATATGTTGGAAAATGTTGCAATGTGTACATATACACGAAGTTTTTGAGTAGGATTTCATGTCGATTATTATGCTTTGCGTCTGCATTCGAATACGGAGAAAAACGACAAATCAAATACAAAGAGGAAAGAACCTTGATACCTTATTCCTATTGAACTGACTTTTTTTTTGATCGAGTACTTTTGCTGGAAAAAGAAGGAAAAAATTGTCCTCACTCTTCACGCGTCGACACATGCATCGATCGGAATTGATAGCATACGAACCAGTAAAAAAAATCGAAAATCCTATTCATGTCGTGTTGAGAAAAAAACGATAGATAAAATTCTATATATAAAGCTTAATCAATGTCATGTTTGCATTGAGCTCATTTCTTTTAAGAACTATGGCTCAAATATAATATGTATCTTTTTTTATATTTGTAGATTTTTTTGTATTCATAATATTCCATTAGTTTAGCAGAACTTGCGTTGATAAATATGTAATATCTTGAGTTTGAAGTGAAAAAAGTTAA